CTGTATTTTACTGGCAATAGTTAGATCGTTTTTCAGTCGACATAGTATTCCATACTTCTTGGCAATTTTCTTGATGACATTGTCAATGTGATAGTTGAACTTAAGTTTGTCATCAATAATCACGCCAAGATATTTAATCTCCCGAACGCGATCAATAGTCTCATTATCAATTACAACAGAGACGTTCTCATTTACTCGATACCGCAAAATAACCATAAATTTAGTTTTAGTTGTATTCAATTGCAACTGCTTATACTTAAACCATCTACTTATAGAACGCAAATCTTCATTCAAGTGTAAAACGGTATCATCTAAATACTTAGCTGCAATGAATAACACAGTATCATCTGCAAAAAGATTAATGTCGCAAAGTCGTAAAACACGTCGCAAGTCATTAATATACATAATAAATAACAGGGGCCCTAATACACTTCCCTGGGGCACTCCAAGGTTATTCCCCATGGGAATCATTAAAAACAGTCCGTTGAGTTCTGTCAGACAAATAGCTTTCAAACCATTTATATGCAGTACTCGTAATTCCAAAGCGCTTGATTGATCTTAACAATAAGGGCATAGAAATTGTTTCAAAAGCGCGTTTTAGATCCAAAAAAACAGCAATAATCGTATACACTCCAAGTTATTTTTCCACTTCGCTAATACCAAATTCAACGGGGTTTCACAAGAATGACCTTCCCGATTGTTCTGGTATCAACAAACTATTACTATTTAAATACTCCAACAGCTGGCCTTAAACAACAAGTTCTAAAATTTTCTCTAATGTGTGCAACATGTTGATGGGACGAAACTCTTTGGCTTTAATCGTTCCAGCAACTTTTTGAATAGGGACCACTAAGGATTCCTTCCAAATTTGTGGCTCATGTCCATTTTTCAATGATTCATTAATAAGGTCCAGCAAGATGTGGCCAATGACATGAAAGCAATCTTGAATAACTCTAGCATTAACATTATCTACTCCAGTCGATTTTCCTAATTAAAAGCAAATAACTCTAAGTTCATCTAATGTAATTGGGTGAAAACCTTCCAATCTACAACAACTTCTGGCTGTTTTATTTCGTCAGGTTCATCGACCAATTCAATGGATTGATTAATTAATGAAACACTGTCTACAAAATAATCATTAAACTTACTTGCATTACTTGTTCTTACTGTTCTAATGTGCCATTAAAAGTTATGGACCGCGGTTTGAAAGTACTGTTTTTTTTAATAAAGGTATCCAAATTTTCCATAACTCTTTGCTGTTGTTTTGATGCTGATCAATTTTCCTTTGAACATATTCACAACGAGTTTTCTTTATCGATTGTGAATACTTATTACGCGCGATTGTGTACCTATTCCAATGATTGTCATTATTTGATCTACATAACTTTTTGTACCATTTGTCCCTTTTCTGTTTAAGACGCAAAAGATCCAAATTGTACCAGCTGTTTCGAGTTCTTCAAAGAAACAAACTTTTGCTCAACTAGTTGATTAGTACACGTTTTCAAAGCGTTATTAAGAACAGCTGTAGATTCATCTAAGCTACCGGTCGCGAATGGAAAATCAACGCTCCTCTCAACAAGATTCGAAACAACTTGCTCCGAATATTTCTCCAGCACTTCAATTTGACATACATTTGTTCAGAGCGGAACAAATATTTCTAATGCATCGAAATTTAGTGCCAACAAGCCTTTTATATTTTTACACATTCCCTAGAATCTCTACTTGATACGAAGAATTTATCAAGGCCTGCTAGAAGCTCCATTTTTCCATGACATATTTTTTCAAGTCTCAGAAATCACGATTTTTTAGTTTGTTAAATCATCAAATGACCTATAGTTAATTAAATGCAGCTTTCAGATAGGACAAACATCTTTGCCGAAGAGAGTGCATATTTTTGATAGCTATTAAGTTAATCACCAATAATTATGATTTATTTGGACGAATCACCAAGTAAATAAATCAAAATAGAATTTTTTTTTTGATGGTTACATAGATTGATTGTGCTTATAAATATGAGTTTTTAGATCAAGCTCGTTCAAGAGCCCATCAAATTCAAAACCCAATTCCGAAAGTAATGTTAAGGGGTTTCTCAGATGTTTTAAAATTATGCAAGATATTTCGACGAATTACAATTGACAAAAAGTAATTTTAGAAATACTACATACTTTTAAGGTATAAATAACTCGATAAGATTTTTAAATAGCTTTCCCATTGTACTTTAGATTAGTTGCAATCTTTGATCGAGTTTGATCTAAACACACATATGTATGAGCTTCTAAAATCTGATTCACTCTTGGAAAAGTTCTATTTAAAAAAAAATTACTTGATTTATTTTCCTAATAAATTTAATTCATGGACCTTGTTTGTATAACATTGCAAAAATATAAAGATTTTATAAATATTCAAACAATTTACTATCTTTCCTCTAAGAAATGATGAATAACATAAAAGCTATCAGCAATAGGCATATACTATCTTGGTTGGAGTTGTTTACCATCATATTTCCTGTATGTTTTTCTTCTTCTTCTTCTTATTCTTCGCGTTTCAAGCTTATTTCTTATCGCATATTAGCTTATTGTTTGCTCTCATCTTAGTGTTCTAGATGCACTTCCACAGTTATGAATTGAGAGCTTTCAATACGTGGTACCACTTTTGCGTTACTACAATTGTGTGGCAAGTACAATCATACTCTATGCCCAGGGAAGTCGAGAAATTTTCCCGCCCGAAAAGTTCTTAGACCGGACCGGGAATCTAACCCACCCACCTACATCATGGCCTTGCTTTGTAGTTGCGCCTTTACCGACTGAGCTAAGGAAGCCCCCATTTCCTATATGTTAGCTGCACTTAATTAACTATTGGTCTTATATTGATATTCACGTTTGATGATTGAATGCCATTATCGTAATTTATGAAAAAATGCAAACCGTTGCAAATTTTTCTCATGTAGCACACGATTTTTTTTTTCTTTATTAGAGTAACTTTCAGCCAGTGGTGTCACTTACACGGAAAATAAAAATGACCCAACATTATATTTTTTTAACTTAAATTTGTGTAAAGCCTCTTATTCAAACTCGTTATTGTTGTCAAAAAAGAAACGAGCTATTCGACTCACTCATAACTATCATTCAATAAGGTACTAGTGAGCAATTGAGGTATGCTCCAATTTGAGTAAATTTAACTTAATTTTGAGTAGAAAAAATTGTGTGTAAGCATTTTTTTTGGCGACGTTGAACTCCAACTACTTTAAACTATTTACTCAAATTGAGCTTATTGAACGGAAGTTGAAAGATGGGTGAAAAGATCTTAACTTTATGTTGTTTAGAGACCCCATGGAATATGTTAAAAATATAAAAGCACTAAATTTCGATGCATAAGAAATATTTGTTCAACTATGACTATGAAAAGTCGGTTTTAAAAAAAAAACAATCTCATCGGGGTACCTCTAAATCGCGCTTTTGAGTGTAGCCACCATACAAACTTTTTTTGTAACATCCTTAAGTATCATTAGGAGGGTGAGCCCCCAGGTTTCCAGAGAAAGTATTATTTTGGACTACATTAATCTGCACCTAATGCATTTTAAAAAATTGCCATTTCCACCCATGGTGGGTTTTGCACTTCCATTTGTTAATAGAAACCTAATGATACTTTTTTTAACGCCACTCATTATCAAACTTTTGCTTTCAACGGCAACAACAGTGCGACCACAGCTGCATTCAATGAACAAAGAGTACCGAAACAATATATTTATCGAGTAAACCAATTGTCGATAGTGCTATCGACACCAAGAGATTAACGCTGCTGTTGATTGTACAACTGAGTTATCTTTCTCTATATCGTTAATAGAGCTTCGATTTATGTTCTGGGACTTCTTACGATTTTCATTCAGACAAATTTTCAAAATTCTTAGACAATTTAACCCAACATCATTTTGTTTTCGAGATTGCGGGACTGAAAAAAATATATATCAACATGAAACACTTTCAACATCTCGAACTAGTTATTGTTAAACATTCTGTAGCTTATAAATACTTTCAACATTCAACAAGATTCTGGGTGATCCAAAAAATGTCAAGGTATCAAGCTTAGATCAACTATTAAGATCATAGACTAAGAAGCATTTTCAAAATTCTGGGGCTTTTAAACATCATTGAACAACTTTGACACATTTATCGAGATCTCGAACTTGAAATGAATCGACATCGAACATTTACAACATTTTATAAATCAAAAAAAATTTCAGGACGTTAGTTGGAAAAACCATGGAAATCCCAGAATATTTAAAAATGTTGCCTTAAAATTGTTCAGCCTTATGAGCAAATCTTTTGAGATCTATATTTACTTTTATAGTTGGCATTGTGGATACATTTTTCATCACCATGAATTTGCCTTTAATTCAAGAAATCAATGCCCCTCTCTGGTCAAATTGAATCAAATCAAACTCCGAAACTGAACTGTTTAACCTCGCTGTCACTTAACGATATTAACTACCCATTAAGGTTTCCAGCTAGTTTTAATTTTGCATTGGCAAAATGTTTAAATGAAAAAGATGGAATTCCAAACCTTATATCTGCTTTATATTGCAAAAACGAGAATTAGCGGGCACATTGGTTATTTAGGTTGAACTCGTTAATTTCAAAAACAATTTTCAATAGTCTCAATAGTCTAAGGAGCGCAATGCAAGAATTAAAAATGTGTTTGGACTAATCTATAGTAATATTTACAAATACACTTTCTCCACCTTTGTCCGACATGCTACATCTTCGATTCATTTGTAAAAGTTAACACATTCTTTAAAAACCTATTGTGACAACCAGACTGCATTGAACAGCTTCAAACTCAAAATCATTCACACTTTCCAGTGTCGATCGTTGTTGCAGCACGTACCAGAAATGACTTTCAGGAAGTATCGAACCGCGGATCGATTCGCACTCAATCGATCCAACTTAGCCGAATTAACGCATAACCTTCAACGCAAATTCTTCTCTTTCCTCCTTCTCTAGCAATAGTGTTATCCATCAAACGAGTGCATGCATAGAGCTCCAGAGTCAGTGCGGTTTCGTGTTTGTTGTGTGTGCGTACTCAGCTGAGCTCCGACCGAATCAAAATAGCAACGACCAAAAATAAGCACCAAAATAAACAAAAGTATCGAAATTTCTTCACGCCCAACAGCATTTGAAACAAAACTCTCCAACGAATAGAGTCGAACTAATTTTAATCGAGAACCCCCCCCCCCCCCTTAACCCCTCTAACTAAATTTCTCAAACGATCAAAACCGACGACGCCCGGCTGGGGTGCACCAGCTAAACAAGTTTGGTGCATTGTTTTGAAAGTTCCTCCCTGCCCTCCCTCGGCCTGTGCTTGCACCCGACCACCGCTTAGGGAAAATAACACCAAACCTAGCATGAGAGAAAGAAACAAAAACGACTAATAGTGCTTTGTGATGAAGAAAATGATCGTAACAAAGGAAAGTGATATTAAAAGTGAAATTATCGGCGAAACGAGCCTACCCAGAAAAAGCGACCGTAATTAATTAAACAATAAACGCCGGTAACCATGTTCCTCTTCTCGGTGCACCCTCAGTCTGGTGAAATCGATCGAAAAATTCGTAACCACCCGGGTGCAGGCCAATAATTTCCTCGCGTAACAACTGGCCAAATCCGACAACCATCATGCTGGAACCGGAACTGTACGGTGGAAGTGGGGTGTCGGATCATCATCACCATTTTAAGAACCATCACCGGCACTACCACGGTCACCACCACCATCATCACCCGCACGGCAGCGGCGGCGGCGGTGGTGGATCGTCTTCCGGGGATCGGAAGTCCTCGTCTTCGTCGCGATCTTCACCGCGGGGACATTTGCATACCAGCAGCGGAGGGGAAAAGCTCAAGTACCAGAATGCGTTCAGTGCGACCGGTGTGGGGGGAGGATCGGACGGGTACTTTCGGTACTATCCCCACCAGCACAGTAGCTATTATGATTTGAGTGAAAAGTTGGACAGCTTGAATATCAAACCGGAAAGTGGGAGCGAATCGAGGAAGAATGATAGTAATAATAACAGCAACAAGAATACGAGTACGAGCAGTGTTTTAAGCAATGGAAGTGAGGGTGCGGGAAGCAGTGGCAGCGGCCGGAAGAAGACCACGGTGGTTTATGTGGGTGATGGGAGAAGTCGGGTGCGGAGGGTGGTTCGAACGCAGACGAGGCACATTACGGTGGTGAGCTACTCCGGGAGGAAGAAGGACACGGCCACGCACACCACACATCATGCGACGGTTTTGAGGTGAGTTTGAAGGGTTTACGTATTTTGAGGACGATCCTTTGGATGGATTTTTTTGATCGGGGTATCAGGGGTACTGTTTGGTAAATGTTTAGACATCTGTGAAAAATTATTCCGAACTGGTAAAGACTTAGAATAACGCCAAGCAGCTTGAAAAAGAATATCAAGCATGGCTATGACTTATTACTGTTATCAAAAAATGAAATCTTAATAAATTAGCAAATCCATAAAAAAAAAACCAAAAAACTTAAGATATTTCCATAGAACAATCTAAAAATATCTGCATTTTTCAATTTAAAAAAATAATAATAAATAAACAGCATTAAGGGGGCACCTGTTGAGATCTCTAAAAAGGGTATTTTTGATAATTTTTTTAGAACATTATAATAAATGCAATCTCATGAGGTTTTCAATATGTTATTAAGCAGCTTTATTTCCGAAAATTTTTAGCCTAAAATATTTTTTTTTTCATTGTTGGCATGCAGAGGTGCCATCCAGACAGATGCCGGCGATGTTTTTGTCGCTTGCGGGACAGCGCGTTGTCAGCACTGAAATTTGAGTTCTTCATTAAAATATCTAAAATCATACATAGGAATTTTTCGAAATTCGCAAAATTACCAAAATGGTGGCGTTGGAATATCCGAAAAATCCAATGTTAGATTTTAGATAGTTCATTTTTACATCGTGGACAGAAGAGCCAGAGGCAGAAGAGCAAAATAATTAAGTCTCCGAGATTCCTGTTTCACAAAGTAAAAAATGTGGTTTCGAGAAAAACGTGTTTATTTGAGTTATATTTAAGTGCGCTTAACAAAAGACTAACAGTGACTTACATTCATTCTGCTATTCCATACATAATACACATAACATTATAGAACAGCGTTTCTCAATCTATGAATCGCGACTAATCGGTGGGTCGCAGATCTTCATTTTTTTTTTTAACTATATGCTTATGCCGGCTTGAATTCAGAATTAATAATAAAGTATTTTAAAATATAAAAAAGTATATAAATTTTTATTAGTTTATTAAAAGTGCAATTATGGCGTATCTTGTGCCTTTCGAGGTTTTAATCTTTTTTTAAAGGTTTTAAACCTGATGGTGGAAGGAAATATAACTTCACTCCTCGATATCCAAATTTGACTTCACTTCCCGAAATCCAAATTGGATTGCGCTTTTCCTAGTAAAATTTTACTTCTTTTCTCGAAATCCAAATCCATTTGTGCTTTTTCTAGTAAAATTTTTCTTCGTTTCTCGGAAACCAAATTCGATTGTGCTTTTCCAAATAAAATTTACCTTGTTTCTCGTAATCCAAAATCGATTGCGCAATTCCAAGTAAAATTTAACATCAGCCAACTTCGTTTGCGCTTTTCCAAGTAAAATTTGACTTCACTTCTCGAAATCAAAATCCATTTGTGCTTTTGCAAGTAAAATGTGACTTCGCTTCTCGAAAGCCAAATTCATTTGCGCTTTTCCAAGTAAAATTTGTCTTCGCTTCTCGTGATCCAAATTAATTTGCAATTTTCCAAGAAAAATTTGATTGCAATTCTCCAAGTACTTACTTCGTTTCTCAAAATCCAAATTCATTTGCGCTTTTCCAAGTAAAATTTGACTGCGCTTCTCGTAATCCTAATTCGATTGCACAATTCCAAGTAAAATTTAACTTCACTTCCCGTAATACAAATTCAATTGCAATGTTCCAAATAAAATTTGAGTTCGCTTCTCATGATCCAAATTAATTTGAAATTTTCCAAGAAAAATTTGATTGCAATTTTCCAAGTAAAATTTAACTTCACTTCTTGTCAGCCAATTTCGTTTGTGCTTTTCCAAGTAAAATTTTACTTCGTTTCTCGAAATCCAAATTCGATTGCGCTTTTTCAAGTAAAATTTGACTTCGCTTCTCGAAATCCAAATCCATTTGTGCTTTTTCTAGTAAAATTTTACTTCGCTTCTCGTAATCCTAATTCGATTGCGCAATTCCAAGTAAAATTTGACTTCACTTCTCGTCAGTCAAATTCGTTTGTGCTTTTGCAAGTAAAATTTTACTTCGTTTCTCAAAATCCAAATCCATTTGTGCTTTTCCTAGTAAAATCTGTTTTCGCTTCTCAAAAACCAAATTCGATTGCACTTTTCCAAGTACAATTTGACTTCGCTTCTTGAAATTCAAATCCATTTGTCGATTGCGTAATTCCAAGTAAAATTTGACTTCGCTTCTCGAAATCCAAATCCATTTGCGCTCTTCCCAGTAAAATTTGACTTCTCTTCTCGAAATCCAAATTCGTTTGCGGGTTTCCAATAAAATGTGATTGCAATTTTCCAAGTAAAATTTGACATTGCTTCTCGTAATCCAAATCCATTTGTGCTTTTCCAAGTAAAATTTGACTTCGCTTCTCGAAAACCAATTCAACTGCGCTTTTCCAAGTAAAATTTGACTTCGTTTCTCGTAATTCAAATTCGATTGAGCCTTTCCAAGTAAAATTTGACTTCGCTTCTCAAAATCCAATTCCATTTGTGCTTTTCCAAATAAAATTTGACTTCACTTCTCGTCAGCCAAATTCGTTTGTGCTATTCGTTTCTCGAAATCCAAATTGGATTGCGCAATTCCAAATAAAATTTGACTTCGCTTCTCATGATCCACATTAATTTGCAATTTTTCAAGAAAAATTTGATTGCAATTTTTCAAGAAAAATTTGATTGCAATTCTCCAAGTAAAATTTGACTTCGCTTCTCGAAAACCTTATTCGATTGCGCTTTTCCAAGTAAAATTTGACTTCGCTTCTTGTGATCCAAATTAATTTTCAATTTCCAATAAAAAATTAAATGCAATTCTCCAAGAAAAGTTTGACTTCACTTCTCGAAATCCAAATCCATTTGCGCTTTTCCCAGTAAAATTTGACTTCCCTTCTCGAAATCCAAATTCGTTTGCGGGTTTCCAGTAAAACTTGATTGCAATTTTCCAAGTAAAATTTGACATTGCTTCTCGTAATCCAAATCCATTTGTGCTTTTCCAAGTAAAATTTGACTTCGCTTCTCGAAAACCAAATTCAACTGCGCTTTTCCAAGTAAAATCTGACTTCGTTTCTCGTAATAAAAATTCGATTGAGCCTTTCCAAGTATAATTTGACTTCGCTTCTCGAAATCCAAATCCATTTGTGCTTTTCCAAATAAAATTTTACTTTACTCCTCGTCAGCCAAATTCGTTTGTGCTATTCGTTTCTCGAAATCTAAATTCGATTGCGCAATTCCAAATAAAATTTGACTTCGCTTCTCGTGATCCAAATTAATTTGCAATTTTTCAAGAAAAATTTGATTGCAATTCTCCAAGAAAAGTTTGGCTTTACTTCTCGAAATCCAAATCCATTTGCGCTTTTTCCAGTAAAGTTTGACTTCACTTCTCGAAATCCAAATTCGTTTGCGGGTTTCCAAGTAAAATTTGATTGCAATTTTCCAAGTCAAATTTGACATTGATTCTCGTAATCCAAATCCATTTGTGCTTTTCCAAGTAAAATTTGACTTCGCTTCTCGAAAACCAAATTCAACTGCGCTTTTCCAAGTAAAATTTGACTTCGTTTCTCCAAATCCATTTGTGCTTTTCCAAATAAAATTTGACTTCACTCCTCGTCAGCCAAATTCGTTTGTGCTATTCGTTTCTCGAAATCCAAATTCGATTGCGTAATTCCAAATAAAATTTGACTTCGCTTTTCGTGATCCAAATTAATTTGCAATTTTTTCAAGAAAAATTTGATTGCAATTCTCCAAGTAAAATTTGACTACGCTTCTCGAAAACCAAATTCGATTGAGCCTTTCCAAGTAAAATTCGACTTCGCTTCTTGTGATCCAAATTTATTTGCAATTTCCAGAAAAATTTAATTGCAATCCTCCAAGAAAAGTTTGACTTCACTTCTCGAAATCCAAATCCATTTGCGCTTTTCCCAGTAAAATTTGACTTCACTTCTCGAAATCCAAATTCGTTTGCGAGTTTCCAAGTAAAAATTGATTGCAATTTTCCAAGTCAAATTTGACATTGCTTCTCGTAATCCAAATCCATTTGTGCTTTTACAAGTAAAATTTGACTTCGCTTCTCGAAAACCAAATTCAATTGCGCAATTCCAAATAAAATTTGACTTCGCTTCTCGTGATCCAAATTAATTTGCAATTTTCAAGAAAAATTTAATTGCAATTCTCCAAGAAAAGGTTGACTACGCTTCTTGAAATCCAAATCCATTTGCGCTTTTCCCAGTAAAATTTGACTTCACTTCTCGAAATCCAATTCGTTTGCGGGTTTCCAAGTAAAATTTGATTGCAATTTTCCAAGTAAAATTTGACATTGCTTCTCGTAATGCAAATCCATTTGTGGTTTTCCAAGTAAAATTTGACTTCGCTTCTCAAATACCAAATTCAACTGCGCTTTTCCAAGTAAAATTTGACTTCGTTTCTCGTAATCCAAATTCGATTGAGCCTTTCCAAGTAAAATTTGATTGCAATTTTCCAAGTAAAATTTGACATTGCTTCTCGTAATGCAAATCCATTTGTGGTTTTCCAAGTAAAATTTGACTTCGCTTCTCAAATACCAAATTCAACTGCGCTTTTCCAAGTAAAATTTGACTTCGTTTCTCGTAATCCAAATTCGATTGAGCCTTTCCAAGTAAAATTTGACTCCACTTCTCAAAATCCAAATCCATTTGTGCTATTCGTTTCTCGAAATCCAAATTCAATTGCACAATTCCAAATAAAATTTGACTTCGCTTCTCGTGATCCAAATTAATTTGCAATTTTTCAAGAAAAATTTGATTGCAATTCTCCATGTGAAATTTGACTTCGCTTCTCGAAAACCAAATTCAATTGCGCAATTCCAAATAAAATTTGACTTCGCTTCTCGTGATCCAAATTAATTTGCAATTTTCAAGAAAAATTTAATTGCAATTCTCCAAGAAAAGGTTGACTACGCTTCTTGAAATCCAAATCCATTTGCGCTTTTCCCAGTAAAATTTGACTTCACTTCTCGAAA